TCATTGCCATTATCACAATTAGCGTCAGTACATATAATGGCCGACATTATTTCAATGAGTACATAGCACAAATTATGAGCCGTCGTACTTCTGCTCTCAAACATGCATTACACAACTAATAGTTACAGTTAGGTTCAGGATCCTTCTTATAACATCGGTCTTAGATCAAGATTTTTGAAAAGCCAGAATATGTCTTCCATCGAGTGTCGTAGCTGAAAAGAACTTTCACGATTTTCAATAGTAGGCATATGAAGAGGAGCAACAGAAAAAGGAGGGCTAATTAATGCAATAAAAACACTACCTTGTCATCCATGATGTAGGGTTCATAACATGCACAATGTCTTAGGTTATGCAAGATATAGCAGGTAGAGTAGAGAGATCCAATTTAAAATATAAAAGAAATATTGTGTCAAACTGTCTGTTCATTGCTTTCCAAAATCCAGCAATAGAAAGCAAAACAAAATCAAAGCTTCAGTAAAAGCGAAGACAACAACAGCAAGAATGGCGTAAAACCCGCTGATTGATATGTCCTCTTACTCTTAGAACTGTGAGGACAACCGATCAAAGCATCTAGACGAAGTGCCCAAAAAGATCAATGGTTCCATTCACGCTTTACAAAATCCAGCAACAGAGCTATGTGTGTGCTTGCATTTCATAGCTGAATTTACTGCCAATGAAGGAGGGAAATAGTAAGCACCAAGAGATAGCAAACACACTGGAAATAGGAAAACTGCCACAGAAAAAACATTGCAAGAAGCCATAGAAAGAAGCATTACAATAAAAAACATTGCAAGAAGCGAACTGTGACAAAGGAACACATTGGCAGATACACAGTATAAATAAAATGGACAAAGTATCATTTGAGGTAGCAGTAAGAGAGTATTCAAGCATTGACTAACAAATGGATTATATTCTGATTTTTTTGTGTCAGTAGAATCCAACGTTGTTGGATGTAAATGTGATGGATGTCCACATCCAAGTCAGTCCAAATCCAGTGATATCCAAGTGCTAAAGTTGAAATGGATGTTGGACTAAGCTCAATCCAATACCAGGTGTCACCAAACTGTGATAATCATGAGGGGAAAACAAAATGCTGAATAAGCAAGCATATACGGATGGATCAATGATACAAAGTGACATTAGTAGCAACACCAAATTAAGAAACGGTCATCAATATAAGCACTAAATTTCATTCCTATGTGGTTTTGAAAAGACAACTGCTGAAGGAAGCCGCTAAAACGAAACCATTGAAAGGAGATGAACACAAGGCATTCACGTAAGCATAAACACTTGCATAGTATGGCTACTTGCTAGTGCTAGGTGTTCTACTGAACCTGGACGCATTCTTGTGCTCACGAAATAAACAGGCCGCCGGCATACCTATGTAGATGAATAGGCGATTGGAACAGAGGGCAGCTAGAACTCACCGGGAAGGATGCGGTGCGTAGCTGACCAGACCTACTGGCTTCACATGCGCCTGCATTGGAGCTGGACGGAGCAGCACCGCCATGCTCCCTGCGCACGCACGCCGACGGGGTCTGTTGCAGGAGCACGGCGGCATGCGGTGGAGGGGATGAGTCGAGGGTTCGCGACTCGCGAGGATATCCAAGCGTCTGGTTTCGTGGCGAGTCGCAGGGAAGACGGCGGGCGCAGAGAAGAGCGACGAGCTCGACGGCTGGCGGCGCATGAGGACGAGCGAGTGCAGCAGTCCGAGAGGAGGTAAGGCTCGGGCCTGCGGGAAGAGGGGCGGCGGGGGCTGGGACGGGGACGGGAGCGGCGGCGGCGGCGGAGGCGGAGGCGCGGCGCGGGGCTGCGGGATGAGGAGCGTCGAGACCCGGGAGCAGGAGGGTTGATTTCGGTAAAGTTCGAGGGTTTTTTTGGAAAAAAAACTGAGAGGAGGCCTGGACTGCGGGTTGATTCGACTAAAGTTCGAGGGTTTTTTTGCAAAAAGACCGCGGCTCGCCCGATCTGGGCCGTCCATGCGCCCGATCGAACGGCCTCGAAAAGCAGGTGACGTGGCACGCTGGCTGTCCGCGGTTTGGGCGCAGGATTCATATGTAAAGATGCCATCACTATGCTGTAAACGGTTGAACCATCTTTTGGCTAATCAGTTGAAAGACTAGGGCTATGCCCTATAATTCTAAAAAAAGGCCAATAAATCTATGCAATAATTCTAAAAAAAGGCCAATAAATCTATGCAAACACAAGGTTGATATGCATCTTTGTATATCAAGTTTGTGATGAGTGATTGTTAAATAATTGGCTTTGGTTGAGTTTGGAGAGTAACCATTGCGTGAGTGTGTATGTGCAACATGTCTCTTTGCTGTGTTAGTGTGCAGACGTAGAGCAGAGACGGTCGACGAGTATGGAGAAGGTCAGAAGGTTAACTGGAGTGCCAAGTAAATAATGTACTCATCCTTTGATTATATCTGTGCACACACTTGGTCGGACTGCAATGGATCTTCCACCGCTACTGCCTGCTGGTGAAGCGATAGGGCTCAGCAATCAGCATAATATTACATTTAATTGGTCAAGATATGTTACAATTTCACTGCCATCTGTTTGGGGAATTGTTGTGAGAGAAACTTGGCTGAAACTGGCTGAAAACACTGTTCCGGCTGAATTGTTGTGAGAGAAAAACACTGTTCCGGCTGAAAAAAGAAACCGAACAAGCCGAATATGGGGTAAGCCGAACAGGGCCATCAAGATATATTGCAGTTCCACTGGACCCGAAAGTGAACTGTTTGTTTCCTTATTACTAGGTTCGTCGGATCTTTGATTTTTATGTTTAACACGAAATTATAAATAAGCTATCCATATACTCTTTCTCATTGAGAGTTATTTGTTTTAAGACGAACAAGAGTTGATGGAAAGGAGTTCTTTCGTCAGGTAAGGTATGTGCAGAAGTGCTCTTTTCCAAGTATTCAGTTTAGCAATAGATTTTTTTCTCAGAAATATACTCAAGCCTTGTGAGTGTAATATTTGATAAGAGTTATGAAGGAGTTTGTTGTACTTATTTTTCTTTCTGAAATTAGATCATGTGGTGCCTTCAAGAACTGCACATAGCCGCACAGTAGGTTCAATTGATTCCGAGGATCTTGTTTTCCAGAAATCTAGAAAGAAACCTTTCAACTCCATTGATTCTTAATTGTTACAAAAGAAAGTTTTGTTCATTTTTACAAGTGTGTGATTGATTTCCCTCTTTAACTGTTGTACATGCAGAAATTGATTGTCATATGAGCAGTTTGGTGCATTCCTGGCTAATGTGAAGGTGCTGAACGCACACAGGCAGACCAAAGAGGTATAAATGGATCAACACTGAATGAACATCTGTTTGGGGATTTATGAACTAATTTTCTGATCCCCCTTTTGGTATTCGTTGAATGTCTCTTACAGTATACCTTAAGAAAGGCTGATGAGATCTTCGGTCCTGAAAACAAGGACCTGTACACCATTTTTGAGAGCCTAATAACTCACAACATTCGCTAGTCTCCTCAAAGGTTGAAACATTCCATGATTACTAGTGATTAGTTTTACCGGTATATTGTGATTACGATATTCATCACTTTTGGTATTTGAAATCTGTAGTCTGTTGTCGATTCTTGGTATATAGTTCTACAGTTCTTTTTTCATGCTTATGTCCATGTAGAGCCCTGGGTATGTCTGGAAGCTACAATTTATATTCTAATACAAATGGAGGAAATATTGGAATAAAAGGGAAATACACGTTATTTGTCTGATATTTCTTGAACATAATTAATAGACTACAAAAGTGAAACAAGTGCAGAACAAAAGTTTAACATCCAGCAGAGTACGTGGAATCCATCTTAAGATAAATTTATTGCTTATTAAAGCCCTTTCATACAACTGTAACTGTGTTGAGCATCTCCTTTAATTTTTTGTGTACTATGCTAAAAGATAGTGAAATATGATGTAAACTGTTCTGTTTTTTGGCATTTATTCTTTAATCCTTTTCCAGCAATATTGTACAAATAGATTGCTTATTTTCTATCCTTTGCTATGTCCGCCCCTAAATGTTTTTGTGGCCTGCTCCAAATTGCCTTCTGCTCTTCGAAGCTCCCAATAACAGCAGATTGTGTTGGAGTTGTTCCAAATTCACTCCAGGATATAGGCCGGGCTTCTGACGGAGCGGAGCGGAGTCTGAAGCCCGGCCCATCAGGTCTCGCCCCTGTGCTCGGGGGGTGCGGGGGGCGGAGCCCCCCGCGATACGGTACAGTATATACACCATTGCTAGGGTTTCGTGGAGACTTGATTCTCTTGTAAGCCGTCATAGGCGTGTAACCCAAAACTCTTGAGATAGTGAGATTGTTGCTGGCTGATGCCCGTGGTTTTTTCTCTTCATATCGGAGGGGTTTTCCACGTTAAATCGTGTGTCTCCTCTGTGGCTTGATTCTTTACTTCATATTCCTATACGTCGTTCATAACAGATTGCTTATCGTTAGCCAAAGAATTTGCCAAATGGTTGTGATAGGCTCCAGTATTCAAACTATATAATACATTCACTGGCTTTGTGCTCTTCTTGACCAAAATTTGCGCATTTGTGCTTTCGGTTGTGTTGGCAACAATGCATATTGGCTTCACTTTCACAGAGGGTTCCAAGTCAGATCCTTGGACCATGTAAACTGCGCCTAGTACATCTCCAAGAAATATGTCCTACAAATATAATAGTTTACACAGACAGATCATAAAAATGACCAAAGACTTAGGTCAGCTGGCAATAGTTCAACATAGGCCAATTAAATAAGAAAAGTATGTTTTTTGTCCTAAATTAAAACTTCTCAAAATTTGACCAAGTTTACAACATCTGCAATACCAAATAAATAGATTTTTTTCCCGTTGACACGACCAAATAAATGGATTATCAAGACATATTTCATTAAGAATTTAATAAAACTAATTTGATATCAGAGATGATATATTTTTCTACAAACATAGTTAGAACAGACTAAAATAATATATATTTTGGAACAGAAGGACTATTAGGCTATGGAACAAATTGAAGTTACTAATGCACTTTTGCCATAGAGGTCACTTACCATGTGGTGATAGATTTTCTGCTTCCTCTGAAGTTGCTGCAGTGGATCGAGGAACATGTTGAACTCTGCATATCTGTTTGAGGAAACAGTGAACACATTTCCCTTCTCATCACTTCCATCTCTAATGAGTCCACCGACAACATAAACTCTCTGCATACAGAGAACTATAAGATTTTATATAACAAATATCAGCTTTGCATCTGAATTCATCACAGGTCAGAACTTCCTTCGATATCTCGTACTACTAGGTGGCAAAAAGAACAGACCTCTATGACAGAGCTGGCGTCCATGTCAGATAGTGAAATGCTGGCTAGATTGGTGAGAGGTCCGCTGGTAAGAACCGTGATCTTCTGACCTAGACCAAGTTGCTTCCTAACTGACTGCCAAACATCAAAAGCATGTGGGTGCCGGCGTTCGGGATGATCTAAATCATCAGAAGTGAACCTAATCATGAAATGAACAGATGTGAAATGTTTTATGACAAGCATTACCATTCATATAAAGCGGCATTCAGTAGAGTGTTTACCTTCGAGGACTTCTTGGCAACGACCGAGCCAGTCCATACAATGTGTCTGAATCTACAAATCCACCACTTCCAAGAGGGATAGCATAAGAATTGTTGCAACCAAGGGTTGGACTGCCCAATGCAGTAGAATTGCCAAGACCTACTGGAATGTCGTCATGGCCCATCATATGTAGAACATCATAAACAATGTCAATGCTAGCACTATTAGCCCAGCCATTTGCATTGATCAAACAGCCTAAAATGATTAGTAGAGTGAGGTTTGTCAGGCATTCAGTGTACAAAAGAGAGCGAACCACATTATTAACTGCAATATTTTGTCTCACCTTCAGATCAATTTCATGTCTAGGTTCTTTCAGGAGGTATATGAGTGACACAAAATCTCCAGGGCTCATGTCCATGTCAAAAATGACTGGCTTGCCCCTACTTACATTCATGAAATCCAGCTTGTAGAGAACCTCTCTGTAATATGGAACTGTGTACTTATGTTGAAACGGCCAGTGTTTTTTTGGGAGATTTAGAACCTGAAAAAAATATATTGGTGGCATTTGTGAGCCTGAACTTTGACATTGCGACTTGTGATTTTCAGCCAAAAAACGCGGGAAGTATGCTTCTTAGTTACCTCTAGGAATCTCTCCGAAAATTCCTTATCCAGTGGGCTATTCTTATTGGTGTTCGGCTTCGTGCTTGTTGCGACAAGCACCTGAACTGCTTCTGGACCGGACACTTGTGTACCCATCCTAAGGAGAAATGCAGGTTTTCAGGCATCAGAGTTTGTCATGTCATGCATAGATAACATTTTGCATCGATCCAGTACATTGGTTATATTACCTGGCATCTGCCTCTGTTGCTTCCCGGCACCAGACAAAAGGGATCTCTGATCCCAGTCTCAAGATGGCCACTGTGAACTCCACCCTCTTTCAGTCCAAACTTGGGAGTAGTTCGTCCATCAAAAAACGGGTTAGAGCCGTCATCACGCACACCGTATGGTTTGTTGGATGTTACCACGGTGATGTTCATGTACTCAAGCTCGGCAAACTCATGATTGCTGCTGCCGGTTTCGCCATGGCGCATGCTGGAGAGGGCCACGCCGGCGGCAAATTGGTCCCACATGTAGAAGCCCTGCACCAGGAGAAAGGAACGAAGAAGCAGCTAGAAATTCATTCATGGAAGCAGCAGCGTGGAACGTCTTGCAACGCAAGCGTCAGAGGTGGGACGACGGAGAAGAAGAGCTCAGACTTGCCGTGTGGTCATGGCTGTCGGATCGCCTCCTCCGCTGCGCCAGAACGCCGTCCAGCGACAGGAAACAGTACTGTGCCTCGTGCGTGCTCTGGCGCCGCAGGAACTCGGAGTAGAACGCCTCCGTTACGGGGATCGTGTTGGTCGCGTCGAGAGGGATCATGGTGACCGGGACGACCGAGTGGAGCACCTGGTAGGCGGCGAAGGGGTCGCCGAAGACGTTGAACTCGGCGACCGGGTTGGCGGTGGTGGCCGTGACAAAAGTACACAAACAAGCTGTACTCCCGGTTGAAACCCTTCAATCTCGATTTCTCAACCGACAGCACGAATTCAGGACTAAAGGGCCTCTTCTTTAGTCTCGATTTTTACCCGAGACTAAAAGCGATCGATAATATCAACTACGGCTAAAGAGGCCTTCCGATCTGACCACGTGGGCTGGCCACCGAGACTAAAGGTTTTTTTTTCCTTTTCAATTAATGATTCGTTTTGATTTTCGAATAAGTTTTTAAATACGCATTCTACGCTACTAATAATATACGTATTCTACACGCTTATAATGTTCGGATATTTTATAGCCCGCCACCCTCACGCCGCCGCCGGAGACGTAAACGCGCTCCACGTTCCGCGTGCGGGTGAGACATCAGGAGGAGCGCGAGGTTTGTGTGCGTGCCCAGCAGGAGCACCGAGGTCGGGCCGGCGGACAGGGCCGCCGCCATGACCCGCTGCGCCGTGGGCTGCCGGAGCGGCCGGTACCCCCGGGAACCCTGCGGGAGGAAGCCCTTCCGGACCCGTGTCGACGTCCAGCCGCCCCGGGAGCGGGATGGCCTGCCGGTACCGGCAGCCGCCGGCCGTCGACATGCCCTGCATGCGCACGTCGTAAGTCTCTAAGTAAAATGCATGGTAGCTTGGACTTTGGAGCTAGCTAGCGGCTGGCGCTGGTTCTTGGATCTACTCTATAAGCTAGATAAGATAATAACTCTGTGCGTGTGTGAATAATTACGTAGGTACCTGGTCGATGAGTGGTAGGTAGCCACCGACGCTGCGTTGTACGTCGCCGGCGTCGGATATCCCGCCGTCGCCACCGACGCCGACGGGGATGTCGTCGCGGCCCATCATGTAGAGGATGTCGTAGCGATGGTTGACGGCGTGCCCGGCGTCGGTCCACGCGTTGGCGCTAATGGTAATGGCCTGCATTGTTCACGACAATAGTGACGCACTAGCCCGACCTTGGCTAGAAGATGGCTCTCAAATTGACGGCCACGAAGGCGTTGAAACATGGCTACTGCAAGAAGATAGTCAAAGCCAAGATGCGCCATCGCTGTCCCTGTCCATAGTCTATCTACACCACTTTTTTTTCTCTCTTTTACCTAGTGATCCAGCAATGGCGATGCAATAAACAATTGACGCGCGTGCGCATGGGATTGAAATTCATCGGAGCTAGACCATTTCGTCAGACACGAAAACTATCAGCATGTTCGCTTGGCTGAGTCGTATCGTTGCTGATTCGTTTATGTGAGAGAGAAGTACTGCTGACTGATTTATGTGAATAATATCCATGTGAGGGGGCTGGCCAGCCAGCCCCAGCCGATCGGGCTGTATATAGGATACTATCACATCATATAGTTTGGTAGGTCTGCGCAGACAGACACAGTACGGTACCGGCTACAGCGATTGTTAAGTAATTTGCTGCTCCCATATATAAACGTGTGGCAGGGACAGACGTTGAAAGGCTCCATGTTGTTGTCTGTAGCTCCTGTAGGGGCAGGCGTCGAAAAGCTCCCCTGCCGCACTGTAGCCACAGCAAGAACAGACGCCAAAGTCAGCCCTGCTATCACATCTAGTCATTATAACAGCATGACATGTCTGTGTATTAGGATTAGATGGGTAGAGTTGTATATATAGCTTCCCATTGCCATCTCCTTTGTAGAGCTCCGGCCAACGCTGGTGCTTGTGCTATGTGTGTGCGCTCTGTTCTTCCTCTCTTCTTCTACCTCTAGCTATAGTGTGTCGTCGGCAACGCTGGGGAGTAGTTGGCTCACCTGTTTTGAAGATCCAGGGGCTAACAAGTGGTATCGAAGCCGTACCAGCGCCATCGCCGGACTAACCGCTGGCGATGACGGACGGTTTGGAAATGGGCGACAGCAGCGGTGCTATTGTGGCTGCCCAGCGACGACAGGAGGTTGTTGTGCGCACGGTGCAGGAGGTCGGCGGCACTAGTTGGCCGACACTGACTCGCACCAACTATGGCGAGTGGGCGATGACCATGAAAGTCAAGTTCAGAGCCCGACGACTCTGGAATGCTGTTGACAAGGGCACCGACAACGAAGAAGACGACATGTCAGCGTTGGAGGCTATCCTCGTTGCTGTGCCAGTAGAGTACAGGGAGACGTTGGAGGCGAAGAGCTCTGCTAAGAAGACGTGGGTGGCCATTGCGGCGATACGTGTCGGTTCCGACCGCGCAAAAAAGGCGATGGCCCAGCTACTGAAGCAGGAGTATGCCAACCTCAAGTTTAAGGATAGTGAATCGGTGGAGGACTTCTTCTTCCGCCTGCAGACGCTCATCAGCAAGCTAAGGAGCCACGGCGTCACCATCGACGAAGAAGAGGCGGTCTCCAAGTACCTTCACTCCGTGCCGATGAAGTACATCCAGATCGCTCTTTTCCATAGAGACGACGCTGGACCTGTCCACCCTCACCATTGAGAATGTGACAGGCCGTCTGCGGGCGGTGGACGAGCGCATGAAGCAGGCTACAACAATAACGAACAGCGGCAAGCTGCAGCTGACACAGGAGGAGTGGGTTGCCCAGAGGAAGAAGTCTGGGGAAGCCTCCTCCAGCCGCGGTGGCGATGGCAAGCGCCGCGACAAGGCTTCTTTGGAGAAGAAGAAGAAGATCGACCCCATCGCCTGGCGGTGCTTCAGGATGACGGGCCATTGGGCAAAGGACTGCCCAAATCGCAAGTAGGAGAAGAAGGCTGAGGCTCATCTGGCGTAGGCTGATGATGATGATGAGGCCACTCTCTTGATGGCGACGTTCTGTGCACTACACGACATTGAGGCCAAAGAGAAGGAAGAGGGGATGGCGGTGGAAGGGCACAGCAAGGCTCTAAAGGTTGTCCACCTCGACGAACCGCGCGCCCAAGTCCACATCGAACGTGTGGGCGGCAGACAGGAGCAGTGGTGGTACCTGGACTCTAGCGCTAGCAACCACATGACGGGCTCCAAGGAAGCCTTCTCCGAGCTCGACGGCAATGTGACCGGCACGGTGAAGTTCGGTGATGGCTCAAGGGTGGCAATCCGAGGGAGCAGCACCATCATCTTCAGGTGTCAGAACGGTGAGCATCTGATGAATGTGTTCTACATCCCGCAGCTGCGTTCAAGCATCATCAGCATTATCTAGCTGGATGAGCGCGGCAGCGAGGTACTGATCAAGGATGACATCCTCAAGATCAGGGACCGGGAGCAGCGGCTTCTTGCCAAGGTGAAGAGGTCCCAGAATCGATTATACCTTGTCGACGAAATATGGTCGGCAGTCTACCTAGGGGTATGCCCAAGGTAGTAGATTATCGGCAGACAGGTGCGCAAGTCCCAAACAAGACGGTGACGCAAGACAGACACGAGGTTTTATCCAGGTTCGGCCGCCAAGAAGGCGTAATACCTACGTCCTGCGTTTGATTTGTATTGCTGTATGTCAATGAGAGATGATCTTTAGAGGGGTCCCCTGCCCGCCTTATATAGTCCGGGGGGCAGGGTTACAGATCTGGAAACTAATCCTAGTCGGTTACAATTGCCATATGTGGCCGGATAAGGATTCCTATTCTAATCGACCAGGATCTCGCTTGGTCGCCAAATCAAATCTTGATTCCTTGTGCGGGACTCGATCGGAGTTAATCGGGCCAAGACGTCATCTTTCTGGGTGACTGAAACTATCGATCCGAGCCAACCCAAGCTTAGCCGTAAGGGTATAGGGGTTAATACCCCACAGCTAGTCCCCGAGCATCATGTATTATGTTGCGACACGCCATTTTAACCTTCTCCGACAAGCAAGGCTTGAATTCTTGACGCCCCGACCACCGTCATCACCGGAGAAGTAGGTTGTCCAAGAAGAATGTATGGTGCTCTTAAGAAAAAAAAAAAAAGATTTTGTCCCGAGAAGTGTGCCCACTTGTATTTAAGAAAAGAAATGTAAGTGGTCCAAGCTTATAGCATCCTTAAACATCAGAAGCGTAGGGGTCGAAAAATAAACACATTCACCGCAAGGTGAAGTGTGCCCACTTAGTCCCCGAGCTTGCTAGAAGGCAAAGTATGAGCCTTGTAGCAAGGTCTAAAAGAAAAGTCTCTTAAGCGTATGTGAGTACAAATCACATGTAGCCAAGGAGAACAATTATTCAAGCAAAGTGGTGGGCAGCCCCGAAAGCACGCCCGTGGTCGGAGCGATCCCCGAGCACAAAAGTGGTTCAGGCGGTATCCAAGCACAGTAGTGGTGCGAACAAATCCACGATCACTTGCGCCGCTTGTACTATTATTTTGTGTACTTTTCTCTATTCTCGCCAAGACCGACCGACACGTCTGGTCAAAAAGTCAATAGGTACTGATCGTCATTACATTTTTTTTTTGCAAACAGTTGGTTGACACCTGTATTGAGGTGTGTCAGTGTGGGCCTCCTTACACCGTCAACGAGGAGGCGCGTACACTGTTAATGAAGTAGCGCGTTTATTGGCGCAGATTTCGAGGTTGTGTGAACAACCCTCTGCGGCGCGTGCGCACGACTCCCAATATTCTCAAGGCGGATTAAAACGACGGTGCTCGTTGTTTTATATAATGCAGATCTCGTAAGCTACTCATACCGTTCCCCATTGTCATCCGCCGCCGCAACCTTCTTCTTCCTCCTGCCGAACCCTATTGCCCCAAAAATCATCACCAATCCCCTCGGTCTCCTGCATCCACCCACTTAGTAAGCACGAACTAATGGCGAAGAGAGACGCCCAGAAGAAAAGCAGGGTCATGGCAAAGGAATGGTGGAAATCGCGAGCAACGAAAGGCACCATCGAGGACCTCGTCGCCATGGGGGTGCTCCACAACAAGGCACTTGCGGGATGGCGTGCACCGGTAGGAGAAAGCTTCCCGATCCACAACCAGTGAGATTGTGGTCTTTGAAGATTTCTTCAAACGAGGTTTTGGGATTCCAGTGCACCCTTTCCTTGTGGTCTCTGCTTGTACTACGAGATTGGGATTTGCAATCGCATCCCAACTCAATTCTTCTTGTCTCCACCTTCATCCATCTCTGCGAGGCTTATGGTGGCTTCCATTTATTTCGACCTCTTTCGCCACCTATTACATCTTCGGAAGAAAGGGAGCGGTGGCTCAAAGATCGCCGGTGGCGTTTACGAACTGCGCGTGACGGCATGAAGGCTCAATACCTGCACTGCCCCTGGAACACCTCCTTGGACGAGTGGTACAAGAAATGGTTCTACATCCGTGAAGAGCCGAACACCATCACTCTGTGCGATGTGGGACTGATTCCAGAGAAGAAAAGCAGCTGGTCGGAGAAGCCCGAGAACTTGGAGCAGATCGCCGAACTGCTCGGGATGATCCCGTGGGGAAGGCTTGATGGCCCGAGCGTTGTCGGCAACTTCATCAGCCGAAGAATCCAGCCCTGCCAGAAAAGGATTCACCCCGGCTTTGAGTACCAAGGAGGCGCTGACCCGACGAGGACCAGGAAAGAGCCGCTCGACAAGGTGGAAATCAAGGCCAGGATTGGAGAGCTGTTCAACCTGGCCGATCCCAATTATGTTGCACTGGACGCCATTGAACACGCCTTCAAGCTGGCTCGCCCTCCCCCAAAGGTAAATGACGCCACCTTTTAACTGTAAAGTCATGTTGCATCAAGAAAATAACTGTCTTTTACTTCATTTTGTGTCTCAGTGTAATGGTCGTGACCGGGCAGGAGTGTTTGTGTCGCCTCCCCCTGGTGTAGAATGGCCACAAGCTACTGGGCCAGCCGCCCAGACCAGCGCCCGGACCGACGACGTTCACTGGGCGGTACTCGAGACCGTAGAGGACGCCTCGAGAGCCAGCCGGCAAGCGCCCCGGCCGCCAAAGAACGACGCGTCAAGCCATCTTCCCACGCCGGACGATGAAGCGAGAGGATGCGAACATCTTCCGGCTCGTCCCCGAAAAGAGGAGAAAGCAAGTGGGACCGTCGGGTAGGGTGGCTCCTCCGTGCAAAGAAGTGGTAACAAAGACCGACCATCGCAAACACGAGCATAGACGAAGGAACATGCCGCATCATACTCCGACGCCTGCATCGGAGGTTGA